CTCAAATTCACGGCCGGGCAAGGTGGTTCAAGCCTGTAATCCCAGCGCTTTGGGAGGCAGAGGAGGGTGGATCCCTTGAGGTCAGGAGTTCGAGACCAGCCTGGCCAACACAGTGAAACCCTCTCTCTGCTAAAAATACAAAAATTAGCCAGGTTTGGTGGCACACACCTGTAATCTCAGCTACTCCAGAGGCTGAGGCATGAGAAAAGCTTGAACTCGGGAGGCGGTGGTTACAGTGAGCCAAGATCAGGCCACTGCACTCCAGCCCAGGCAACAAAGCAAGACTCTGTTGAAATCAAAACAAAACAAAACAAATTCACTTGCCAACTGAATTTTCAATTCCATAAGGATTATATATGTATAGCTTTTGCTTTCTTAAAAGGCTACACAACAAAATGAAAACAAATTTGATATATAATGCAAATTTTAAAAAGTAGGCTATAAAGGAATGTGTGCATTACACTTATAGCAATGTAAAAGCATGCAAATAAAAAGACTGGAATAAAATAAAACAAAAATAATAATGTTAGAATTACGGATTTCTGAATGGTTTTTAAAATTTCATCAGCTTAAAAACATGATCTGCTTTTAACTTAATGGGAACAAAACACTAAGCAATCTATCTTTATATAATGTGTAGGTTGCTGTGTAAAGTAAAATGGGGCGTCTCATAGCTTTCATATGGGAATGTAATCACAATGACTTATCTTCCATCATTATCAAACTGAAACGAAATTCTGAAAAATCGCTACATACCTGATGTGTGTTGAGTGAAGAAGTCTTTCTAGTGGTTCATGTTTACCACAACTATAAAGGAGTGATTTAGGATTGGTGATAAGAACTACAGGCCACGTGCCAAAGATCAAATCTGCAAAGCTAAAGAGGTCATGGTCAAAAGCAAAAATCCGGTACCTAGAGACCAGATAATGATAAGGTAATTTAGTCACTTCACATTGTAAGAGGTCATGTAGGTAATATACAGAACAAATATAAAAATACATAACTAGGACTTTTTTACATGATGAATTTGAATACAGATTAAGTAATATTTTCTTTCTTTCCTCCCTTACCCCTATCACTTTAGCCTTCACATTTGTCAGATAACTGGCCTCTGACTGGGCAATGGATTCAACTGTGCTCTTGAACAACACCTGGTACATGGCATGTACTCTTTAATTTTTAAATAAATACTTGTTGAAGTAATTCATCTTATCCCTGTACTTTAAGACAACTTTGAACCTAAAACATTTATTATAACCCTAATACCTGACATTCTTCACCCCATCAACAATGCTACATAAAATATTAAGTAGCTGGGATTACAGGTGCCCATCACCATGCCCGGCTATTTTTAGCAGAGACAGGGTTTCACCATGTTGGGCAGGAGTCTGGAATTTCTGACCTCAGGTGGTCCCCCCACCTTGGCCTCCCAAAGTGCTGGGATTACAGGTGTAAGCCACTGCGCCTGGCCTTAAACATTTCTATAATTTCAAAGAAATTAAAGTTGTTTTCATTTTCCAAATGCAATAACAAAAGGTATAAAATATTCATTAAAGAATAACCAAAGTTTTATATTTTCTAACTTGTAGAATTAAAAAAAGAAATGATTCACTACAGCAGAAACACTAGTGCTCACCAAATACTCTACACATTCCCCTGCATTTCCCAGTCTCCCTGGTATCAGGTTGGGACCATGTGACTAGTTTTGGCCAATGGGCTGTGAACAGAAGTGACACATATCATGCCTGTGGTCCAAAGTACTTAAGAGTGGGTGTGAGTTCTCCTTGCTGTCTTCCCTGCCCTGGAATTGACATGTTGAAATAGGAATTTTAAGACAGACGAAGTCTGAATTACTGACTCACGCCATGGATGAGAGTTGTTCTGACTCACATTGAATTCACACAAATGAAAAACATTTGTGTTAAGCCACTGATATTTCTGGATTTATCTGCATCTACAATAAGGCCTAGCCTAATATTACCAATATACGGTTTTTAAAAATTCTTCTATTGTAACAAACACAATTTAAGTGTTTATAAGGGCAGGTAAAGTTTAGGTCCTTTCAGTAAACTCCAGATAAAACCCCAAGGTTGGAACACAGGAAAGCTGGTGAAGAGAGAAAGGAAATGGCTTCATAATTAACAACACAACTTGTAACTGGAGCACTTAGAAGAAATAAAGAAGCTGGTCAAGGCTTAGTAAGACTATCTCACAAAAGGCAATCATAGCCCAGCCCACAGCCTCACAGCCATGAACAGACAACTCTTAGCTCAAAGTAATTATAGTTGCCAAATAATTACAGGTTTCAAGCATAACTCATACACTTTCTAAAAAGTCAACCAAAATGAGGAAGTACCTTCCAAGATGTAAAGTTCCTTTTTAATTAATGGAAGTAGTTAAAAACAAAAAGATAACATATTCAGCTCAACAAATCTTTGTTGAGTACCTATTATCTGAGAGCACAGCATTTGTATAAATTAAATAACTGTAATAGTTAAACAATAAGATGATACTCCTCAAAACTTGATAAACTATTTCACTTAAATACTTCTTTTAAAAAAGAAAAAAACATATATTTAACTGTACTACATGCTTTTGATAAACATGTTTTCTGTTAGACTTTAACCTTAAAAAAGTCAACTATCATCTATTTGAAGAACTTAAATCACTGCCATCTTGTAGCAGTAACCAGTATGGTAGATACAAAACAGGAGAAAAAAGAAGGCACTTCTAGTACTAGTATTTCTCAAATTGTGGTGCATAGACCACCCAGAGGGCTTTTAAAAAATGCAGTTTGGGCCAGGTGCCGTGGCTCACACCTGTAATCCTGGTACTTTGGGAGGCCAAGGCGGCTAGATCACCTGAGGTCAGGAGTTCAAGACCAGCCTGGCCAACATGGTGAAACCCTGTCTCTACTAAAATACAAAACTTAGCCGAGCATGATGGCACGTGCCTGTAATCTCAGCTACTAGGTAGGCTGAGACCGGAGAATCACTTGAGCCCAGGAGACGGTGGTTGCACTGAACCAAGATCACGCCACTGCACTCCAGCCTGGGTGGCTGAATGTGACTCTGTCTCAAAAAAAAAAAAAAAAAAGTAGTTTGTTGGACCCTAATCCAGACCAACACAATCAAAATCTCTAGAGGTAGCGCCTGAAAATTTTTATTTTTCATAAGCTCCTCTATAATTCTTGTGCACATTAGAGTTTGAGTCCATTTCCTAATGGACATATCTTGAAAATCCAATGTAACATAGTGATAGTAAACATCACTGCTGTGACAAGGTTTCCACAAAATGACAAAGATTGCAGAGACATATATTACTTTAAAAAGGCAGAAATATCACAAGTTTTTCTTTAACTGTGATCACCCATGATATCAGTAAGAAAATTATCATTGCTTTGGCAAAACTTATGTGTATAAGTTTTATTCTGTGGGGAGGTTCCCTTACCTCCTATTATCCTTCCAGTCTCCCACCTCAAGTTCCAAAGTGCCCTGGAAGTGACGAGTGTGCAAAACAGGCATCAGTCCACCAAGTGTATGGAGGTGTCCACACAAATAAGCTATAGCCGAACTAACCAGTGAAAAATAAATGAAATAAATGAACAAAGGTAACTTGTGAGGCCAAACTAATAAAAATGTCTTGCCAGAAAAGCAGAATAGGTACAGCAAAATAAAAAACTAAAAACAAATGAATTCTGATTTTGGAAGCTTGTCTCACCTCATTATTGACCGGATTCCTGGTGATGGAGAAAGAATAGTGGATGTTGTAAAGTGTCCAAACCAAATTGTATGGTTGCTCCGACTACTTTCCTTGGCCAGTAATAAGAGCTCCTCCATCTTTTTCTGAAATGGGAGAAAAATGGAAGGATCTTAAATTAGGGCTCAGGCTAAAATCTAATGTCAACAGATTAGAAAACTCCTCTGAAGATGTATAATAATTATTATATGTGTCTAGACCTTAAACCTTACTAGTTAATGACCTCTATGGACCTCTGTAAGTTTCAAATGGTTTTCACATATATTTCATTTGATCCTAAAAATAACTCTGCAATAGGTAGGAAAGATATCTATTTTAATAGATAAGTAAATTGAGAAATAAAGAAGTCATCACTAATCTTACAGCTTTGTATAACACATTACAATTAATAAAAAGGATACAGAAACTAAACTTCTAAAATAATATCATGTAAAGACTTCTACCTAAATGTTTATAACAACTCTGATAATAGCCAAAAACTAGAAACCATCAACAAGTTGTAATACATCCACACGATGGAATACTACTCAGCAACAGAAAGGAAAGAACTAATGATACACACAATCATATGGATGGATCTTGGAAACATACTGAGCAAAAGAAGCCAGACCCAAGAGTACATAACGTATGATTTCATTTATACAAAATTTTAAAACAAACGAAACGAATCTATACTGATGGAAAACCAATCAGTGATTCCCTAGGAGGTGAAGACTGTACAAGGAAGATAAGACTTTAGGATGATGGAAATGTTCTAGTCTTAACTGTGGTGACAGTTATACCAGTACATACATTTGTCAAAACTCTTCAAACACTTAAAATGAGGGTATTTTATAGTATTCAAATCATACCTCAAAAGTTGATTTCAAAAAATAACTGGTACATATGTAAATATGCATTAATATTATCTATAAGGTGCTTACAGCAATACATTTCTGGGCTCTACCCTCAGGGTTTTAAATTTGGTAAGTCTGGGGCAAGGCCAGGGAATCTGCATTTTGTAACACTCCAGTTGGTTTTTTTTTTTTTTTTTTGTTTTGTTTTGTTTTTGAGACGGAGTCTTGCTCTGTCGCCCGGGCTGGAGTGCAGTGGCCGGATCTCAGCTCACTGCAAGCTCCGCCTCCCGGGTTTACGCCATTCTCCTGCCTCAGCCTCCCGAGTAGCGGGGACTACAGGCGCCCGCCACCTCGCCCGGCTAGTTTTTTGTGTTTTTAGTAGAGACGGGGTTTCACTGTGTTAGCCAGGATGGTCTCGATCTCCTGACCTCGTGATCCGCCCGTCTCGGCCTCCCAAAGTGCTGGGATTACAGGCTTGAGCCACCGCGCCCAGCCCAGTTGGTTTTCATGTACATGATCCTTGAATTCTACCTTAAAAAACACTATACAAAGGAATGGGATTTAATATAAGTTCATCAACCCTGACTAAAGACACTTGATAGATAGGAAACAAAATAGAACCCAATTAAATAAAATGCCTAAAGTAACGCAATGCATTTGACAATATTTTGTTCACTTGATTTCACATTCTTTCGAACTCTCGTATAACTCTGAACCTCATAGTTCTAATTTAGCAAATTCTGCTCTTTATTATATTTATTTCTATACTGGTCTTATACCTTACCACTAGATTAAATACTCTGAGTCTAAGAATTTGATCTTATCACGTTTGTATTCTTTCATATGAGCACATATGTCTTACTTAGGGGCATATGCTTATTAAATAACGAGTTGGCATTTACTGTACCAAGAAATAATAAGAAGTTCTCAAATGAGACTTTCCACAGTTTAAATCCAGCAATCACCTAGTCTTGTCAAAATACTTGAAAATAAACATATTGATTTCAACAGTTGTCCTTCTCTTCTTAAAAAAATATAGACCAGCTGGGCACAGTGGCTCATGCCTGTAATCCCAGCACTTTGGGAGGCTGAGGCTGGTAGAACACTTGAGATCAGGAGTTCAAGACCACCCTGGCCAACATGGCGAAACCCTCTCTCTAGTAAAAATGCAAAAATTAGCTGGGCGTGGTGGCACATGCCTGTAATCCTAGCTACCTGGGAGGCTGAGGCACGAGAACTGCTTGAGCCTGGGATGTGGAGGTTGTAGTGAGCTGAAGTCACACCACTGTACTCCAGCCTGGGCGACAGAGCAAAACTCCATCTCAAAAAAAAAAAAAAAAAAACCACTAGTTAGAACTGGCAATTGTGGGAACTTAGGAATATACCACAAAAAGCTGTATGTCCTGTTCCTTGCTGGATGTCCAAAGTGCATCCTGTACTCAGTACCTATTTAATAAATGCTTACTCCATAAAGTGTGAGGTACTTCTTTCTCAGATTTTGGGACAAGAACAAGGATAGCAAAAATAGTGCTGAAATAGCCAGTAACTTCTAGCCATACCTGTAACCAAGTTAAATTTCTCTCAAGCACTCCTAGATAATAACTAGTTTACTTATGATAACTTTAAGTGATCCACATGTATCCATGAAAAAATAAGTAAACTACAAAGGGAAGTAAGATTTTTACTACACCTTATCTAAAATTCCAAAGAAATTATAGGGTCTCTTAGGCCCTGGATTTATGGTGGCATCTACACAGATGAACGAATAGTTGCCAAAGGGAGTACTGTGGACATAATGGAAAGAGCCATCTCTACGTACAGCAGAATATTTCCTAAAAAATAGAAGACAGGAGGGTGTTAGTGTAATTATAAAAAGACAATGCTTTAAAATTCCTTCCCGAATACACAAAATTTTACCTTCTTTTGAAAAAGAGATTTGCTGATCTGACAGAGAAGTATACTAAACTAGATCCACAATGGATAAACTGATGAAATTGCGAAGTTTTTCTCCCATTGTCCCCAAAGACTCATGCAAACTAATTCATCAATAACCAAACACAAGTTCACCAAGTAACGTTCAGAAGTAAGAGAATTCTTTTAGGCAGTCCATTAAATACTCAAAAAGAAACAAATCAGAATAAAGTGGAACAGTATTTATCAATCATTTGCAGATTTAGTCAGGGCCTACTAAGTACCTAGAAGAATTCTTGGTGTAGTGAGACACAAAAGCTGTTTACTTCTTGAAACAGGACTACAGAGGCTTAATTCACAAGCAAGACAAGACGAAGTCTTCAAGCAAGGAGAAAAATATTAGTCTAGGTCTGGGTTGTTAAATCTTTTTCAGTTCCTAAAGATACATTGATAACATACACAGGGTCTATATCCACTAATGAAAGTTTACCACCTTAAGTGTCAACAGCGTTCAGGTGTCCATAAAACTGCAGAGTGAAGACCAGGAAGAAAGGATGGGTAACACAGTACAGAGCACGCACTCATTAAGTATGTGTTGAATAAATAAGAAGGAAAGTATAGATTTTATTGGGGGGCATACCTATATTATTCAAATGTCAGAACATTATAAGGAAAGTTGGTATTATCTTTAATCTAAGTGTCTTACATGTGTAGTTAAGGGACATCAGAATTATTTAGGAAACAATTAGAAAAGAACATGAAGGAATGGCTGATGAAATGCTAGATTATTTGGTACACATGATAATCAAAAATCTTAATCTAAGATTTTTACCTAACAGCATATATTTAAAAATACAAATAAACTCCTGAAATTTAATATGCTAGTGGGCCACAAAAGCCATCATGTATAATGTAACCCGAGTAAATATATTATACAGAAACTATAACTAATACTCAGAAATTAGTCAAACCCAATTTAAACAATGTCAATTAGTTCTATTGCCTTTCTTCTTGGTATTTTTAAAATTTCTATTTCAGGGCCAGGTATGGTGGCTCACGCCTATAATCCCAGCACTTTGGGAGGCCACGGCAGGCGGATCATGAGGTCAGGAGATCGAGACCATCCTGGCTAACACGGTGAAACCCCGTCTCTACTAAAAATACAAAAAAATTAGCCAGGCATGGTGGTGGGCGCCTGTAGTCCCAGCTACTCGGGAGGCTGAGGCAGGAGAATGGCGTGAACCCGGGAGGCAGAGCTTGCAGTGAGCTGAGATCACGCCACTGCACTCCAGTCTGGGCAACAAAGTGAGACTCCATCTCAGAAAAAAAAAAAAAAAAGTTCTGTTTCAGGGTTTTAGTCTAAATTAAAATTTTTACTTATATTTTTTCTTATTTTATGTTCAGTTATTCCTCAGAAGCTTATAATCTTACATATGTTGTTTCCTTTCCTGTATTTTTGATACATTAAAATCCAACTGTCTAAAAATAAATCCAACTATTTGAAAACACAAGTTAAAATATATGATGCTAACATAATATGGGATTTTGGCATTCTCTGGGGCTTATTTTATTTTTTTGAGACAGGGTCTGGCTCTGTCACCCAGGCTAGAGAGCAGTGGCATGATCTTGGCTCACTGCAATCTCAGCCTTCTGGGCTCAAGCGATCCTCCCATCTCAGCCTCCTGAGTAGCTGGGACTAAAGGTGCACACCACCACGCCCAGCTAATTTTTGTATTTTTGTAGAGATGGGGTTTCACCATGTTGCCCAGGCTGGTCTCGAACTCCTGGACTCAAGTGTGCACCTGCCTTAGCCTCCCAAAGTGCTAGGATTACAGGCATGAACCACTGCATCCAGCCTCTTTGGGACTTCTTTTTTTTTTTTTTTTTTTTTTTTTTGAGACGGTGTCTCGCTCTGTCGCCCAGGCTGGAGTGCAGTGGCGTGATCTCGGCTCACAGAAAGCTCTGCCTCCTCTCTGGGACATTTTTAAGATCAAGATTTAACTTTAATTTTTTTTCTTCAGATTGATATTTCTGTAATATTTACATTTTTAGTAAAATGCCATTTATTAAATTCAGATAAAGTTTAGGTGGCTAAAAACAAAAATACAAAGGTAAGAAACTTTAAAGTGACTATTCACTTTACTTTCCAAATAACCACTCAGCCCCAATTCCTGTTAATTATTTTTGAAAATGTCTCCTAACTGCCCATAATCACCATCAAAGATACAAACAGTTAACAGGAAGTGAAAGATTTTCATCTCTGTCCTTTTCCTTTCTCATATTAACAAAAGAGAACAACCTCCGCTTCCAATGTATGGTGACTCTAATTATACAAACTCAGTTAACCAGTGCTTTTTGACCTATCATCCTCAAACTGATGTCACCATCTCCATATCCAGGAACTTAGTTCAGATGGGTATGTCTCTTCATATCACAACTGGACTATTGCAGGACCCTCCTATTTAGTCCACATAACTCCAATATCTTTTTTCCTTTTTACCCCATCTTTTTCCTTTTTTATTGTGGGATTGCCCTTTATAAAACACTATTTTAATTATGTTACTTGCCTCCTTAAGAACCTATGCTGAATTACCAACTATTACCCATCACATCTCAATGTCTATGCTTGTTACTTAAGACCTACATAAATTAGCCCTAAGCTACCTATCCAGTGTCATACCAGTCCTCAGTATGGATGTTAATTCTGGTGATACCAGTTTCCTTACTGCCCCAGCAAAGTTCAGTTTTTGGTTTCCCAGTGCGTAGCTTTTAAAGACCTATATTCATACCTATTCTTTTGCCTAAAATATCCTCCTTGGCATGTCTTACTTCTTCAAATGCTACTCATTTTTTAAGATTGGACACACTTTTTGCTTCTTTTATAAAGTCTTTTCTATGTCCACCCACGCTTTTCTGATTTCTCATAGTGATTATCATGTGTACCAAATAATCTAGCATTTCATCAGCCATTCCTTCATGTTCTTTTCTAATTGTTTCCTAAATAATTCTGATGTCCCTTAACTACACTATCAGTTCCTTGAAGGCAAAAGCCAAATTTTTAACATTAGCTCATGTATCTCTCACACTATCCAGCTAGGGATGGACTCTCAATAAATATTTGCTACATGATTGATTGACAATGCAGAACAAAGCTACTGAATATCCTGAGGCTGAAAAGTGAACTGCAACCAAAAGAGGAATCTAAACATAATGAAACTAGAGAATTGGTTTCTAATTCAGAGATCCCTTGCCTTTTCACATTCACGACAAATAATGATTATTTTAATATTTATATGACACAGGATAAAAAGATAAAGCAGCCAGGTGACTAACTGGGCTCTCCAGCCACCACAGAGGCCAGGAAAATCAGTATCTCAGGATTCTGAAAACCCAGTGACCTCAGCAGTGTGGCTGACAAACTCTGATATAAATGACTTTTCCTATGTATCAATGACTTAAAAAATTGTTTAAGCCCATGTGGAATATTAAAAGTACCATTAGCCAAAACAAAGCATTAAACTACATGCATACTTCAGAGGTATTGTGGTTCCTAACCACCACAATAAAGCAAATATTGCAAAAAAGCGAGTCACATGAATTTTTGGTTTCCCAGTGTGTATGAAAGTTATGTTTACGGCTGGGCGCAGTGGCTTATGCCTGTAATCCCAGCACTTTGGGAGGCCGAGGCAGGCAGATCACTTCAGGTCAGGAGTTTGAGACCAGCCTGGCCAACATGGCAAAACCCTGTCTCTACTAAAAATACAAAAATTAGCCAGGCATGTTGGCACATGCCTGTAGTTCCAGCTACTCAGGAGGCTGAGTCAGGAGACTCACTTGAACCAGGGAGATGGAGGTTGCAGTGAGCCAAGATGGTGCCACTATACTCCAGCCTGGGCAACAGAGCAAGATCCTATCTCAAAAAAAAAAAATGTTATGTTTACATCATACTATAGTCTATTAAGTGTACAATTGCTTCATGTCCAACAAAACAATGCACATACCTTAATTTATAAATACTTCTACTGACTGGGCATGGTGGCTAACGTCTGTTCTCCTAGCACTTTGGGAGGTTGAGGTGAGTGGATCACTTGAGCCCAGGAGCTCGAGACTAGCCTGGGCAACACATCGAAACTCTGTCTCTATAAAAAAATACAATAATTAGCCAGGCATGGTGGCTCATGTCTGTGGTCCCAACTACCCGAGAGGCTAAGGTGGGAGGATCACTTTGAGCCTGGGAGGTGGAGGTTGCAGTGAGCTGAGATCGCACTATTGCACTCCAGCCTGGGTGACAGAGTGAGACCCTGTCTCAGGGAAAAAAAAAAAAAAAAAACTTTACTGCCAAAAATGCTAATGATCATCTGGGCCTTCAGTGAGTCAAATCTTTTTACTGATAGAGGGTCCTGTTTTGATGTTGGTGGCTGCTGGCTGATCAGGGTGGTGGTTGGGGTGGCTGGGGTAATTTCTTAAAATAAGTCAACCATGAAGTTTGCTATATCAATTGACTTTTCCTTTCACAAGAATTTCTCTGTAGCATGCAATGCTGCTTGATAGCATTTTACCCAAAGAAATCCAATCCTCTCCAACACTGTCATTGCTTTATCAACTAAATTTATGTATAATTCTAAATCCTTCGTTGTCATTTCAAAAATGTTCACACCATAGTTACCAGGAGTAGTTTCCTTCTCAAGAAACCATGTTTTCTGCTCATCCATAAGAAGCAATTGCCATCTGTTCAAATTTTATCCTAAGATTACAGCAATTTAGTCACCTCTTCAGGCTCCACTTCTAATCCTAGTTCTCCTGCTATTTCCACATTTGCAGTTACTTCCTCCACTGAAGTCTTGAACCCCTCAAAATTATCCATGAGGGTTGGAATCAACTTCTTCCAAACTCCTGTTTATGTTATTTTAACCTCCTCCAATTAATTGCAACTGTTCTTAATGGTATCTAGAATGGTGACTCCTTTCCATAAATTTTTCAATCGACTGCCCACATCCATCAGAAGAAGAATCATAATCTAAGGCAGCTATAGTCTTATGAAATGTGTTTCTTAAATAGTAAGAGTTGGAAGTTGAAATTACTTCTTGATCCATTGGCTGCAGGATGAATACTGTGCTAGCAGGCATGAAAGTAACATTCATCTCCTTGTACAACTTCCTCAGAGCTCTTGGGTGACCAGGTGCATTGTCAATGACCATTGATACTTTGAAAGGAATATCTTTTTCTGAGCAGTAGTTCTCAACAGTGGACTTCAAATATTCAGTAAACCACGCTGTAAACAGATGTGCTATTATTATCCAGGCTTTGTTGTTCCATATATGGAACACAGGCAGAGTAGATTTAGCATAATGCTGAAGCACCCAAGGATTTTCAGAATGGTAAATAGGCATTGGCTCCACTTAAAGTCATTGGCTATGGAGCAGGAACCCACGTCCAGGAACAGAGCCCTTTGCTCCTCCCTCAGAATGGAGACCAGAAATCAGACATTTCTGTCCAAGAAAATCAGGATTTCGTTCAGTGCTTCTCCCAGATTGTTAGGGTGCTGACTGAGGATGAGATGGGGCACCGAGGGAGAGGAGATGCTATCACCCAGCTCAAGGAGGTCCTGTAGCACAATGGCATTGAAGGCAAGTATCACTGGGCTTTGACAGTGCTAGTACTATTCTTGGAGCTGGTGGAGCTGAGGAAACAGGATGCTGAGAGTCTCCAGCGGGCCCTGACTGTGGGCTGGTGTGTGGAACTGCTGCAAGCTTTCTTCCTGGTGGCAGATGACATCACAGATTCATCCCTCACCCGCCAGGGACAGATCTGCTGGTATCAAAAGCCGGGCGTGGGTTTGGACGCCATCAATGATGCTATGCTTCTGGAAGGGAAGCATGTATGTACCACCTGCTGAAGCTCTATTCCCGGGAGCAGCCTTATTACCTGAACCTGATCCAGCTCTTCCTGCAGAGTTTCTATCAGATTGAGATTGGGCAGCCCCCCAGGGAAATGCAGATCTTGGCAGATTCACTGAAAAGAGGTACAAATCTAGTGTCAAGTACAAGGCAGCTTTCTACTCCTTCTACCTTCCTGTAGCTGCAGCCATGTACATGGCAGGCATTGATGGTGAGAAGGAGCACACCTGCTGGAGATGGGAGAGGGAGAGTTCTTTCAGATTCAGGATGATTCCCTTGACCTCTTTTGGGGACCCCAGTGTGACCGGCAAAGTTGGCACTGACAAACAGGACAACAAATGTAGCTGGCTGGTGGTTCAGTGTCTGCAACGGGCCACTCCGGAACAGTAGCAGATCCTGAAGGAGAATTACGGGCAGAAGGAGGCCGAGAAGGTGGCCCTGGTGAAGACGGTATGAGGAGCCGGATCTGCCGGCCGTGTTCTTGCAATACTAGGAAGACAGTTACAGCCACATGATGGGTCTCACTGAACAGGACGCAGTGCCCCTGCCCCCAGTCATCTTTCTAGGGCTGACGTGCAACATTTACAAGTGGAAAAGTGACCTAGAGACTGCAAGGGTGGGGAGAAGAGGCCCTCAATAAATAAATTATTGTGTAACTTTCTAAAAAAATAAAAAAGTCATCAACTGCATGGACCCCTAGCAACAGTCACCCTGTCCTTTGAAGCCAGGGATTGACTTCTCTCTAGCTATGAAAGTCCTAGATGGCATCTTCTTCCAAAAGAAGGCTGTTTCACTTACACAGAAAATCTGTTGTTTAGTGCAGCCACCTTCATCAATTATCTTAGCTAGATCTTCTGGGTCACTTGCCGCAGCTTCTCCAATCAGCACTTGCTGCGTCACACTGCATGTTTATGTTATAGAGTCAACTTCTCTCCTCAGACCTCATGAAGCAACCTCTGCCAGCTTCCAACTTTTCTTCTGCAGCTTCCTTACCTCTCTCAGTCTTCACAGAATTGAAGGGAGTTAGCATCTTGCTCTGGATTAGGCTTTGGCTTAAGTGAATGCTGTAGATGCTTTGATCATCTATCCAGAACACTAAAACTTTCTCCACAACAGCAGTAGGACTGTTTCACTTTCTAATCATTCATCTGTTCACTGGAGCAGCACTTTCCATTTCCTTCAAGAACTTTTCCTTTGCATTCACAACTTGGCTCACTGCTCCAGCACAAGAGGCCTAGCTTTCAGCCTACCTGATAGCCTTTCAACAGCCTTTCTCACCAAGCTTCATCATTTCTACCTTTTGATTTAAAGTGAGAGATGTTGGGCCCTTCCTTTCACTTGAACACTTAGAGGCCATTGTAGGGTTATTGACTGGCCTAATTTTAATATTGTTGTCTCTCAGGGAATAGGGAGGCCAGAGGCGAGGGAGAGAGATAGGAGAACAGCTGGTTGGTGGAGCACTGAGAACACATACAGCATCTATTGATTAAGTTCCTGGACTTATATGGGCAAGGTTTGTAGCACCCCAAAACAATTACAATAGTAACATCAAAGGTCACTGATCGCAGATCACCATAACAGATACAATGAAAAAGTCTGAAATATTGTGAGAATTACCAAAATGAGACACAGAGACACAAAGTGAGCATATGCTGTTGGAAAAATAGCTCCCATAGACTTGCTCAAGGCAGGCTTGCCACAAACTTTCAATTTGTAAAAAACGCAACATCTGCAAAGTGCAATAAGGCGAAGCACAATAAAACGAGGCATGCCTGTATATGAAACAGAAAGAATTAAAGAAAAGAAAAAGTCTAAACAAAAAGAAATGCATCTGTCACAAGAAGACAAAAAGGCTCATTTTTTTAATTACCAGAGATTCTTTATAGAAAAACTTTTTCTGTTAAAAAATGTTTTCAGCTAGGCACAGTAGCATGTGCCTGCAGCCCCAGCTACACAGGAGTCTGAGGCAGGAGAATCGTTTGAGCTCAGGAGTTCAGGGCTAGCCTGGGCAAAATAGTTAGACTCCTGCCTCTCAAAATTTTTTTTAAGTTTTCTCTCATTCATTGAATTGACGACACCCTCCTTATAACACTGACTCTACACAGTGGTCTGTCTTCTGTTTATTACAGTACCTGTAATAATTCTTGACGCTGTCCAGACTTGGAATATTGAATGCATCTAATTTAAAAAAAAAAAAAAAGCAAACATTCATCCACATTAAAAAAAGAATACAAACATGTTCTTTAATGACTAAGGGAAAATAGTTCTTTCTATAACAATTCCCCCACACACTCCCCCAGGGTAGAGCCATTCCATTTATTATTCAGCAAATAGCGGGAGGACCAGGAGAGGGGCCCATCCTAGACAACCTCCCATTATTGCCATGGGTTTCAGTTTGCTTTCCCAAACTAGAAATGTTTAGCCTAGGCAAAGGGTAGACTCAGAACAGAGTCCAGATGGCCCTGGCCCTACCACCAGCTCATGAACTCCCACCATGGTCCATCTCTCTAGGGCCACTGAGCCTCTCTTAGAACCAGTATGGCTAGACTCTGGGTTGCTGGGTCCAATCCAAGCAGGCTGGGCTCCAAGTTCTAGACCCTAGGCTGGCTAAAACCCTGGAATCTTGATTCCAGGATGTGGGTGGGATGGACTTAGGTCCCAAGCTCCAGGCTAAGCCAGTGGCCTTCAGGGCTGCAGCAGGTAGCTGCCTTCACGGCTAGGCTTCTTGGGCAGTGGTACTTTTTCAGGATAGGAGCTAGGGCTGGAGTTGGGTCTAAATCTGTAGAAACAGTCAATATTGGCAGAGCAAGAGTGGTAGGCCTGGCAGAGAATGACTCGGAGCAGAAGCAGCAAGAAGCCTATGAGGTGTTGCAGATGATGGCAATGAGCACCCCCTGGGAAACGGCTGCCCCCATGACAGGCAGCCCACCCTCAGACAGCACAGACAGTAGAGCTGCCTCAATGGCAAGGCCTATGCCAAGGCGGGACTCTGGTATGAGCAGCCTTCCATGGAGGCTGTCCTGTCTACACACTCAATGATTCCCGGGCAGTGGAGATGTCCACCTGCAGTCTTAAGCCAAAGTACAGCCCGGTGCACATCTGTGGGAGGGTTGGGACAACGGGATATTCAGATTTAACTGAGGCTCCAGCAGGAGCAACTGGCCCTCCCCAAGCTCTCTGCCTCTGCTGGCACAGACTGAGCTAGCCACAGCGTGACTGTAGCAGCCTCTGTCATCTTTCTGTAACACTTTTAATGGTAGAATGTCAATCAATTAGATTGATGCTTTAAAATGTTGATATCTTAACAAAATTCAGATAATCTAGAAACTTATTTATTTCAGGCATTTAGTATACTAGAGAAAAACAGGTACTTTGACTTCTATACCATTCAGAATAAATAAGTTTGAAATTTTAAGATTGAACTGTAGTTGCTCTTGTCTTAATCATGTGATTCCAAAAGCCAGCAAGAAGTGGATTCATGCCTGATCTACTGATGAAATAAAGTAGACAAATGAAGTACTTAGCTAATAAAAAAGTCAACCTTTATAAATCAAACAAATCTACTACCACCAGGACTCTTTTAGAGAAGAGTTCATTTCCTTACCAACACAACAATAATCTAAAAAAGGGAAAGGATTATTCATTTCCCTGTTCATGCCTATGGAGATTTGTTTGCAATTTAAAATTTTTAGGCTAGGTGCAGTGACTCATACCTGTAATCCTAGCACTTTGGGAGAATGAGGTGGGAGGATCGCTTGAGCCCAGGAGTTTGAGATCAGCCTGAGCAACATAGCAAGATCTCAACTCCACAAAAAAAAAACCTTCAAAAATTAGCTGGGTGTGGTGATGCATGCTTATAGTCCCAGCTACTTGGGGTTGCTAAGGTGGGAGGATCATTTAAGCTCAGGTCAAGGCTGTGGTGAGCTATACTCACACCACTGCACTCTAGGCTAAGTGACAGAGCAAGACCCTGTCAAAAAACTAATAATAAAGTGGGTGTGGTGGCTCACGCCTATAATCCCACCACTTTAGGAGGCTGAGACAGGCAGATCATTTGAGGTCAGGGGTTCGAGACCAGCCTGGCCAATGTGGTGAAACTCCGCCTCTACTAAAAATACCCCCCCCCCCCCCCCCGCCAAAAAAATTAACTGGGCAGGATGGTACCTGTCTGTAATCCCAGCTACTCAGGAGGTTAAGGCAGGAGAATTGCTTGAATTCAGGAGACAAAGGTTGCAGTGAGCTGAGACTGCACTATTGTACTCCAGCCTGGGTGACAGGGTGAGACTCTTTCTCACAAAATAATGATAATAAGAATAGTCACAGTAAATTTTAAAAAGAAAAAATAAAAAGCAAAATTTTTTAAATTTGCACACAGGAAAATTCATTCTTTTCTGTGACTTACAGTTCTATGGATTTTGACAAATACATAGCGAACCTGACGTCCACCACAACCACCAAAATACAGACTAGTTCCATCACCACCAAAAATTCTCCATGATGCCTGTTTGCAGTTAATCTGTCTCCCAATCCCTATCCTCTGGTAACTACAATCTGTTCTCTGTCTATTGTTTTGCCTTTTCTTGAATGTCATATAAATGAAATCATACAGTATGCAGACTTACAGGTTTGGCTTCTTTCACTTAGCAAAATGTATATTTATTAAAACATCTGTCTGCATGAGTTTTGCTAAAACTCATGTTTCTTCTATGTAAAGAAGAAAGGACTTGGGGGTGGGGGGCAGGGGGAGGGATAGCATTAGGAGAAATACCTAATGTAGATGACAGGTTGATGGATGCAGCAAACCACATGGCACGTGTATACCTATGTAACAAACCTGCATGTTCTGCACATGTATCCCAGAACTTAAAGTATAGTAATAATAATAATTAAAAAAGCAGCATATGTCACAAAAAAGGACCATACCAATTGTCATCTCAAAGGCTAACAATGACATCTGAAGTTTTAAAACCACATTATATAGTTGTATTTCAGAGTTGTGACCTTTAGTATATGTAAATCTATGTTATAATGTCCCACTTAATAATTTTACAATCTAAGTTGGAAAATCTAGGTTCCTGAAGGGGGAAAAAAACGCTAGTCTTTATTATATCTAGCTCTTGGGTCTCACCATGATTTCCTTTGATATCCAGCCACTTGGTTTTTTCCATGACTCTTGTCTTCTTCAGAATACCCTGGTAGGTTTGCCATTCTACCTCATGCTGCCTGGATCCCAACTGTTCCTTTGTTTTGGCATCTGTCAGGTCTCCTGTAGGTTTACACAAGAATTGAATCACAATGCAAAACAAACTCCTAGGGGTTCCATTTTTTTAGATATGCACACTGAAGGAACAACGATACTTAAAGTACTCAACATGTATAAGCAAAACTGCTCATGAGACCACCAATGTCCAATCAAGCCATCTAAACTAACAAGATTTTCTCAGCAAGGGCTTTGTTCCTTATAGGTTAGCAAACGCCTGTGTGATATTAGAAATGAGTTGTGAAAAAATCCTTAAAGAGAACAGTACAAAATGCATCAGTAGACTCTGATAAAATGAAAATGTTTTTATAAGAAATTCCAGGCCGGGCGCGGTGGCTCAAGCCTGTAATCCCAGCACTTAGGGAGGCCGAGACGGGCGGATCACGAGGTCAGGAGATCGAGACCATCCTGGCTAACATGGTGAAACGCCGTCTCTACTAAAAATACAAAAAACTAGCCGGGCGAGGTGGCGGGCGCCTGTAGTCCCAGCTACTCGGGAGGCTGAGGCAGGAGAATGGCGTGAACCTGGGAGGCGGAGCTTGCAGTGAGCTGAGATCCGGCCACTGCACTCCAGCCTGGGCGACAGAGCGAGACTCCGTCTCAAAAAAAAAAAAAAAAAAAAAAAAAAAAGAAATTCCAATACTCTGAGTGGGTACCTAATATCTACAGCAACCATGTTTTCCAAACCACAAAATCAGAATATGTGACTTGACCAAGTATTAGTTTTACAGCAAGAAGCAATGTGGCAGGGGCAACTGGACAACAAAATACCAAAATTTATAGGGAACTAAACAGAACACTTTTTATGGGGGTTCATCCATTAAATGAGAACTGATACCCTTTCATGTCAGCAGAGATACTTCAATAAGGTGGATGGGTGATGAATTCCCCAGTAAGCAAGACAGATAGATGCTCCTTTAGCTTCTTCCCACTACAGTTTGGAAGCAAATAAAGGGTTTGAAGAGTCTACAAAACTCAAGTCATAAAACTATTAAAGGGTGAAGAAAAAGTGCTCTGGGTCACCGGAAGCCTCAAACAACTGAAAATATAAGATTAATAATATAAAGAAAATTGAAAAGTGAGCAAAAGAAGAGAACTTCTGATTCGTGGTTACAGGCTTTTCCCTAATTCTCACAACCACAACTATAACAACAAGAACAGAAACCAGATACAAATATGAGACAAAAGACTGACATGAGAACTAGGAGCCTTGCTTCTACTGCTTTGACAAAACCTTGCTACGTCAAATCATTTTGCCTGAATCTTGACTCATTCAGTTATCCGTAGGCAAAGGGGTTAGCATGTCCAATCTCTTCCACCTCACAGGGCTCATCTGGGGCTGTGGCTATACTGCTCCCAACGTCCCCAAAGAGAAAAGCCGCAGCCCTGGCTAGAGTTCTACCATCCGGACCACAGAACACCACCACAGCACGGCAAGCCTCCCTACCTGTTGCTAGGACGAGAGCTGGTTGAATGATGTCAATAGTTTCAGAACAGAATTTCTCTAAGTCTACCGCTCTGCCTGGATCTCGAAACCTGCTCAGGTGAATGTCGGATATCTGCCGAAAACAGGTATTGAACAGAGAGATCTGAGCCGGGAAGAGGCAGCATGGGGAGCGGCGGCTCAGCGGCTCTCGCGGGCAGAAGGAAAAGACAAAGAGGCAGTGCATAACGAACCCCCCAGGTAGGGACAGGGCCAGCACTAGACAGAGCCTCGAGTTACAACCTGAGTGAGGCCCGCAGCCTGGAGCGTGGGGCCCAGCATCCGCCAGAGTCTCACCGCACGGTGCCCGCTCTGCACCCGCCTCCCGGCCCGGCTTCCCGCCGCTTCACCTGCAGGCCCCAGAAGATGTTGCTGTCTCCAGGACCTGGCGCGGGGTGCGGCCTCCTGGGGGGCGCGGGGTGCGGCAGCGGCGAGGGTTGGCCCGCCAGGCCGTAGTGCTCCAAGAGCATGGCCACCAGCGCTGCGGCCGCCAACCCCGCGACCACCCTGAGAGCCAGCACTGCAGCCATGCCGCCCTCCCGCCAGTCCGCCAGGGAGCGGCCCTCGCTGATCCCGCGCGGGATCGCGCGGCGCTCCCGGGAGCCGCTTTGCCTGCACTTCCGGACTCTCTTGTAGCTGGGCCAGAGCCGGATGCGGGGCCGAGCCGGATGCGGGGCTGGAGCCAGACACCGGGCCTAGGGTGCTGCGCCGGTCAGCCGCCTGCCGGCATCTGTGCCTCTCTGGCAGCGCAAGTGTCTGGGCTCGTTTTGCGTAAGTAATGCGATCAAAGAAAAGGGAACCGAAACTCTGAACACCAATGACGGTGGCCGAGTGGTGGCGGGCAAGGAGACCGGTACCAGTGGCCAGGAGGCCAGGGCTAGAGTCCTGGCTCCGCCTTGGTCATTCACTCCTGACCTCAGTGGGTCGATCTCCTTACCTGTAAAACAGAGTTAATAACACCTTCCGTGCGCACTTTGCAGGGTTGTTGTATCAAAGTGAGAATGTATGAGGACGCCTTTCACATCGTCTCACAAATGTGTCAGGTGGCTTCCTCTGGCCCCTTCTGATTATTAACGTGCCTCCATAGGTTTTCTTTTCTTTCCCTTCCCCTTCCCGCTACCGTTGCCCTTTCCTTCACTTCTCAGACAGGATCTCACTCTGTCCCCCAGGCAGGAATGCAGTGGCGCGATCATGGCTCACTGCAGCCTTGACCTCCCTGGCCTCAAGTAGCTGGAACTACAGGTTCGCACCATCCCGCCCAGCTAATTTTTTAAATATAGTTTTTGTAGAGACTGGGGTCTCTGTGTTGCCCAAGCTGGCTTCGGAACTCCTGGGTTCAAGCGATCCTCCCGCCTCGCAAAGTGCTGGGACCACGGCTCCCGGCAGCATAGGTTTTCTATAGATGTTAATTCCTATGTTTTGTGAAAGTTATTTTTCCCTTAACCTGATTTCACATGCAACTGATTAATATTGCAACACGGTGGTATACTATTCATTTAATAAATATTAAATACTTCCTATGGGCAAGGCCCAGGAGAATTAGATTCAGCCCTACCTTCACTTATCTAACCACTCCCTTATTGTTGATTTTTGAATTGTTTATTATATATTGGTGTTCTGAGTAATTTATTTTCACATCTGCCTTCCTTTTATTGAAAAAAATTTTAGACAATGGCAGTTAATAAAAGGCACAAACAAATCAACAGGGATATACTAGTGGAAAACACAATATAAAACTAAAATGTCATTGGTTTCTTTAATTGGTTAGGAGCACAAAATGTAACAGGCAGAAGGTCTGTTTCAAACAAATTAAAAAGCTATGTGTATTTTAAATTCTCCCCAAATCAGATATATACACACCCACAAAAATAGTGTGTGAAGGAAAGCTATCACACACGAGAAGTCGTATACTGAATTCTTCAAGGAAACACATGTGGAAATAGGAATTAATAAAGTCAGCAACAGATGAATATATTTTTTAATTGAGTCTTAAAATGCTACATGACCCAAAACTATACTATATAAAGTACTGCTAGGTACAAAGGAAAAAGTCTGTACAGCTTTTAGCAAAACTGCTTTCCCAGAAAAGCAAATTAAAATAATGCAATCAGCAGACCAAGGAGACTACAGCTAGACATCAGAGCTACAACTTCTCATATCTGTGTCAGAAAATCCTATTTATCCAGAATAGACTAAAATTTTGGGATAAAACAGGAACTTTTTAACTTTTTTTACTTTATCCATTTTGAGTTATTTTTATCTCCCTCACCTCCCAAACCAGTAATTCAGCAAGATCCAGCAGAAAGAGGGCTACTTTTAGAATTAGCTATTTTATTTTTCTTTCTATGGCGAGACTGTCATGGAGCTTGGATATTTCAGGATCATATACATCCATGACCAGTGTCCCACTGTGGTCAAAAAACTTTATCTGGCCTCTGAGCCCAAGCTAAGCCATCATATGCCCTGTGTCCTGCGTGTATACATCCAGATAGTCTGAAGCAACTGAAGATCCACAAAAGAAGTGAAAATAGCTTTAACTGATGACATTCCACCATTGTGATTTGTTTCTGCCCCACCCTAACTGATCAATGTACTTTGTAATCTCCCCCACCCTTAAGAAGGTTCTTTGTAATTCTGCGCACCCTTGAGAATGTACTTTGTGAGATCCACCCCCTGCCTGCAAAACATTGCTCCTAACTCCACCGCCTATCCCAAAACCTGTAAGAACTAATGATAATCCCACCAACCTTTGCTGACTCTCTTTTCAGACTCAGCCCGCCTGCACCCAGGTGAAATAAACAGCCTTGTTGCTCACACAAAGCCTGTTTGGTGGTCTCTTCGCATGGACATGCATGACAAACTTAGCAATGGGGACTTGGTAAACTCGACTTCCCGCTGCTGCTTTGTTCTCCAACTGGTGAAGGTCAGCTTCAAGGTGTATTTGTCATCAAACCTTTTAAGACTGGAGGACAGTTGCCAAATACCATCAGGATCCATTCCTGTAGGATCTTTCCTGTGGGTCATGACAAAGATGCTCCTCTCCTTTTATGAGGTATAAATGGTCAGAATCCAGATCATCACAAAATAGGATATGACGCACAAAATGAAAACGGGTTTGGACTCTGGAAAGGGGTGCATATAATCCCAAATCAAAGCCACTATGGCAAAAAAAAACAGGAGATTGTACAGATGGTGAGGCGACCATCAATTAGACCAAAATTCTCCACATATTTGTATTTTTCCAGAAGTAACTTTTTGGCAGAATCATCCAAAGAGGTTTTCACAGCGAATCCATCGCACTTGTCAATTTTTACAGGCTTATCATCTATCTTCCACTTATCCAACAAGCCGCTATGGCCACTGCCTGTCCCGCACCTGGAACCACCGCCAGCCCCACTACTGCCTCCACTACCCCCGCTTCTTCCACCCTGTGCAGCTGCTGCTGCCAGCTTACCCACTTCTGCCTGTTCTAAGTAAAGATATGTATTTTTGGGGGAGGATGGAGTCTCTCTCTACCACCTAGGCTGGAGTGCAGTGGCGCGATCTTGGCTCACTGCAAGCTCTGCCTCCCGAGTTCATGCCATTCTCCTGTCTCAGCCTCCCCCAGCAGCTGGGATTACAGGCACTCACCATCACGCCTGGCTAATTTTTTGTATTTTTAATAGAGACAGGATTTCACTGTGTTAGCCAGGATGGTCTTGATCTCCTGACCTCGTGATCCACCCGCCTCGGCCTCCCAAAAGTGCTGGGATTACAGGTGTGAGCCACCGCACCTGGCTGAGCAAATATTTTTACACAAATAGTGCTCTTAAAAAAAAACTCCCCTTGAGTTTTTTCCTTGGGATATGTTGTCAGTATTGGATTTATGCCAATTTAAATTAAATTGAATTTTCAATTTAAAATTTTCAATTAAATTTTGAGTACCTTTGGAATACAATACATTGATCTAAGCAGAAAACATAAAGAAACATAAAGATAAGTAGGCAAAGAGCTATGGTTCATTATCTAAGGAGTTTATGTAAGAGAGAGACATACATACATAAGTTTAATATGTGAAGAATATGCTTTTTGCCACAAGAGATGAACAGATATAAAAGGCAGGGGGAAGGTTAAAACTAGGAGAGAGAAGCTGGGCATGGTGGCTCAAGCCTGTAATCCCACCATTGGCAGGCAGAGGCGGGCAGATCACGAGGTCAGGAGATCGAGACCATCCTGGCTAACATAGTGAAAGCCCGTCTCTACTAAAACTACAAAAAATTAGCCAGGCATGGTGGCACGCATCTGTAGTCCCAGCTACTTGGGAGGCTGATGCAGGAGAGTCACTTGAACCTGGGAGGCGGAGGTTGCAGCGAGCCGAGATCAGGCATTGCACTCCAGCCTGGGTGACAGAGCGAGATTCCATCTCAAACAACAACAACAACAACAACAAAACTAGCAGAGAGTACATCTTTGGAAAGAATCAAGAAAAGTTTAATTATGGATGTCGCATATAAAGGATGGGTAATATTTCTTGACTGGCAGAGATTGAGGTTGGGGTGGGTAAAAGCACTTTCCTAACAACACGAACCAAAGCATTAAGATGAGAAAATGCAGGGCATGTTGCAGGGACAGTGAATGTTTCAGTTTACCAGCCTACACCAAGAGGAATAATGGTAATTAGACCAGACTTTTGGCTTGAGGCACATTGAGGAAGGCCTCTGTAAATGCCAAGAGTGAAGACAACAGAGTTCTGCTTTGGCGACATGGATCTGGCAACAGCATAGAGAACTGACTGTCCAGAGGACAGGTGTGAGAGAGAATCCTGTTGGAAGGAGATTGCAATAATCCAGGTAGTGGAGTAATTACAAAGACCTGAAGAAGAAAGATAGGAGAATACGACCTTGAGATTAGAAAGGAGTGATCAAATGTAACAACAATTTTAAAAATAAAAACTATAGAACATGGCACCGATTGGATATTCAATGGAAGAAAATAAGAGTTTTTTTAAAAATAGTGCCAAAATGTGGAACATAGTGACTGAGGGACCAGGGCTATAATGTATGAATGGAGAGCATTACCCATATCAATAAAATAAAATTTTGATTTTGGTTTTATCTAACACTACACCACTAGAAAACACGTGGAAGGATATTTTAAAACAAAATTTGGGAGACATGACTGAGATGATCTAATTTAAAACCCAAGCAATGTGGCATACATCAAATGCATTTGCAGAGACCTTAGAGTATTGGGGGAACCCGCCCCCAATATTTCAACGTAGGTTCTTTCTATTTTCCATAAAGTCAGCCGGCTGAGAAATAAAGAGAAAGAGTACAAAGAGAGGAATTTTATAGCTGAGCCACCGGGGGTGACATCACATATCAGTAGGACTGTGATACCCACCTGAGCCTCAAAAGCAAGTTTTTTATTAAGGGTTTCAAAAGGGGAGGTGTGTAAGAACAGGGAGTAGGTACAAAGATCACAGGCTTCAAAGGGCAAAAAGCAGAACTACTAATAAGGGTCCAACAAAGATCACAAGGCAAAGGGGAAAAGCAGAACTACTGATAAGGGTCTATGCTCAGCAGTGCACATATTGTCTTGATAAACATCTTAAATAACAGACAACAGAGTTCGAGAGCAGAGAACTGGTCTGACCACAAATTTACCAGGGCAGTTTTTCCCCACCCTAGTAAGCCTGAGGGTACTGCAGGAGACTAGGGCGTATCTCAGTCCTTATCTCAACTGCATAAGACAGTCCCAGAGCAGCCATTTATAGACTTCCCCCCAGGAATGTATTCCTTTCCCAGGGTATTAATATTAATATTCCTTGCTAGGAAAAGAATTTAGCGATCTCTCTCCTACTTGCACGTCCATT